AGAGCGATTGCAGTACGACCTCAGTAGGTTAGCAGTCAGTCTCGAAGCAGTCAGCGGTAAGGTCCAGTCAGTCCCAGTCCGGTCCAGCAAGTACCACGAGGGACTGTGAGCACCATGGGTCAATGGAAAGGGGCAGACCAACGAGCTTCAGAAGTATAAATCAAGAGGCAGCACCCAGTCATTCATTCATTCCTGCGTGAGCCATGCGGAAGCGCTGCCACAACGACTTGTGCAAGGAGATCTGCAGTGAGCCGGAAGCTGAAGTGGTCGAGAGAGGAGCGTAGCATAGCGATAGGGTAGTTGCGGCCATAGCCGCCATAGCTAGAGTTAGTGTGTGTAGTGTGTGTGTGTATGTGTGAGTGCAGAGTAACGAGTGTGGGATATCCAGGGTGATCCGGTGTATGCGAACAGACAGTTGTTTGGGCGCTGAGTCGCCATAGCCATTGAAAGTGAACTCGTATCTGGGTTGCCATATCTCTGAGTTCTGAGTGGGCATATGTCGCCAGTTTGCTGCGTTACTGTTTGCATGCATGTAAAGTGTGAATGAGAGTGAGTCTGATTGCATCGGTATCAGAACTGGTACCCGCTATTCCACGCGCGCCGTGTCACCGTGTGTCGCGGGGAGGAGATGCGCCATAGCTGAGGTGGCCGCCGAGAGCAGTAGTCCGCCGTAGCGGACCTGAAGGTTGGAGAAGCCGCCGCGCACCTGCAAAGAAGACCACGACGAAGAAGAAGACCGAGAGAGAGAGAGAGAGAGAAGGGTTGAGCGATACAAGATTGGGTTACTACGTACCTGCTGCGCTGGAATATCGCTACGGAGAGAGAGAGAGAGAGAGAGAGATGAGCGATACAAGTTTGGTTGTCACGTACCTGTGAAGCTGCTGTGCGGTCCCACGAAGAAGAAGACTGCGGCCATAGCCGCGGAGTTTGACCACGGAGTAACGAAGGAGGGAGAGAGAGTGGACAGAGGGAGAGACCGAAGAAAGAGAGGGAAGCCATAGCCAAGGAGGAAGAAAGAGAGACGATAAAAAAAAAAAAAAAAAAAAAAAAAAAAGAGAAAGCCTTCAACCTATCCCCTCACCCTATGGATGTGCACACACCCTGTGGAACTTGCTGAGTCAAGTTTGTCTGTCTCTTCTTTCTGCATTGAGTCTCTTTTGTTCAGGTGATAGGAACTCTGTGGATGAAGGATAGGGCCTTGTTGACCAAACCCACACGGGCTGAATAGGGCTAAAGACTGTGTCTGACGACTCGACTGTCCCGGAGGACACGAACCCTCCCAAGGACCGGTACTGACCGGTGGGCTGCTCGGTGTTGCATGGTAGGCCCACAATCCGAGCTGTGGGCTGCACAACAGGCCGTCTAAGTGTTGAGAAGACCTGCTGATCGCGTCGTCCTGTCTGCGGCGTTAAATAATTCCTGAGGAGTTACGAGGGATCTCCTTAAATGCCTCCTGATCAACAACAGGTCTTGTAGTGACAGCCTTAGAGTAGGTCTAGGCTAGAGACCCTAGTTGACAAGATCCTGTCCGGATTCTGTAAGTCCTTAGATTGAGTCAGTAGGTGAGTCAGTTAGGGGGAGTAGAGTCTAAGTGGTGAGGAGTGGAACCGCTGTCTGGTTGTGCACCTTCCACCATGGTTGACACCCGTACTGGGAAGAGTACTGCCCCCTCCGAGGCCGAGCAGGCCCGGATTGCCACCCTTTTGAAAGAGAGAAAGGAGAAGAAAGAGCTCCTTAAGCAGGTGAAGTTAAAGGCCATTGAGGAGGAGCCGGTGGCGAAGAAGAAGAGATTGGAGGAGGAGATGCTAAGATTTCAAAAGGAGAAGATCATGATGTTAGAGAGAGAGGAGGAGGAAAGAAGAAGGGCTGCAGAGGAAGAAGCAGTAGGAGAGGAGGAGGAAGAAGAAGAAGAAGAAGAACCCCTTGAAAGAGGGCACAGGGAGCAGAGAAGCAAGACAAGTGGCACGAAGGAGGAAGACGGATGGAGGGAAAAGAAGATTAGTGAATGGGTGGCTAATTTATCATTGGGAGAAGATGAAGAGGCACAGTTATATGTGCCACAGGAGGAGAAGGAGGAGTTCGCCAGGGCCCTGGAGCTGATAGAGGATCCCCTGGAACGCCAGGCGACGGAAGATGAGAAGAAGTTGGAGTGGAAGTTGAAGATGATGAGGGAGAAGAAGAGAAGGAGGGAGGAAGCTAGCAGAATAGCCGGGGAGGTTGAGCGAGTGCGAACCGGCAGGCAGGAGCTACAGGCTCAAACAGAGGTCTCTGCCAAGTTAGATAGATGATGGGCTTCTTGGAAGTCTCGAGTGAGGCCTGGCTGGAGGAGCACCAGGCTTGTAAAGGTCAAGAGGTGACCCTGCAAGCAATGCGATCCGGGTTCAGAGAATTTGCGAGCGACATGGTGGGCCACGTTGGGTCCGAAATTAGAAGACTGAGGGATGGCGTAGACAAGTTCTGCGTTGTCGTCATTGAGACCACCAAAGTTGTGGCCACAGTAGAGGCCACGGCGCGTCCCCGCAAAGAGCCAGTCAAGTTAAAATTCCCTAACCCATATAGCGGGAAGAAAGAGGAAAATTTCGATAACTGGGAGGCCAGTATAAATACATATGTCTTTTTACAGCACATAGCCCCCGTGGAACAAGTCCTCGTTGCCTTCCACGCCTTTAAAGACGAAGCAGCCAGTTTCGCCACGTCCCTCGCACGTGCCGCAGATTGCGAGCACAACATGATCGCATATTCCAGGACAAGGTCCAAACCATCCATTCACGACAGTGGAGGAGTGCGAGAGCACTCAAGGCTGTCATGGACGACTTGGTAGCCGTCCTGGACCATGGGGTCACTGAGACCCAGTTGGTTCAGTTGTTTTATCGTGCCATGCCAGAGCCCTTACGAGGGCACTTCTTTTACAAGACCCATCAGCCCAACATCACATACGGTGCATTGAGTAGGGTAGTGGTCTTGTTTGAGGCCAAGTCAATGCCAGTTTCCACTTTCTGGCACAAAGACTTAGATAAGGGAAAGAAGTGGAAAGGGCGTACCATCTTTGGTCAGGTTAGGGCCAAGGATCATATGATTCTTACGTTGGAAGAAGGTGCTACTGACAAGGTCCCTTACAGCCAGATTGAGTGGGGCCTCGAGGAGGAGGACAGTAACATAGGACAAGAGAGGTCCTATACAGTTGTCGCGGCTGGAGGGAGGCCGCAAGGTAGAGGAGGAGGCCAAGGCCATGGGAGGCCGAGGATCGGGCGCACAGGGGGTTGGCGGTCAAGGGAACCACCAAGCGGGAGGTAGGGGTCAAGGTCCCTCGCCAAATCGCCAAGCTCCCAGTCGGTCCCCACAGCGACGAGGTGGAAAGTCACCTCAAAGGTCAGGAGGTTGGCACCCAGGCTGGCCACAAGGTCGGCCCTTGGAAGATCTGGGCCTGGACCAGAAAGTATGGCAACAGCGGATGGAGCAAGGGTAGTGCATTTACTGTGGTGACCCTGCCCATATCATAAAATATTGTCCTAAGTATAGACAGGCCCGATGGGCTGCCCAAGAGTCAAAAGGAAGCCGCTGGTAGGGGTTGCAACTGCCCCTACTATTAGGCCATGTGGGGAAGCGAGCGAGCGTGCGCGTACAAGAAACTCCCACACCACATGAGCCTTTGGTAGAGGTTGCAGGCTCGTGCCTAGTTAGCTGTCCAAAGATTGCTTGTGTCAGCGTCTCTCTAGGCACGTCCCTCATAGGCGTGGCGGGCAGCTAGTGCTGGTGGATGTAGAAGTTTTCAGGAGTAGAGTAGGGGCCCTTATAGATTCAGGGGCCATCAGCAGCTATATTAGCCGTAGAGCGTTGAAGAAGCTGAGGCTAGGATTGAAAGTCCAGAAGTTGGAAGACCCCATAGTTAGTGTCCTCACAGACAATCGCACGATGCACGTCGAGGACTACGTAGAGGGAGTTCAAGCGTATTTCCGCCTAGAGAAAGATGGGAAGGTGGAGAAAGTTCTCCATTCCCTGACTCTCCTCGTTCAGGATGACCTTCCTCTTGACATAGTCCTGGGTATGGACTGGGAGAGGCAACAGGGGCTACACTCCACCTAAGAGAGCATGAGTGTAGGCTCCTTAGTCCGTCAGGCGAAGTTAAGACAGCTCGTCTGTTCCATGTGTCTGGAGTAGATAACTCCTTGGCACATTGCTGCCTCAGTGCTCCCGCGTTCGCGCGATTAGTGAGAAAGGAGCAATTAGAGGATCAGGTCTTCGTAGTGTATGTAAGATCTGTCACTGAGACGAAGCAAGAGGATAGTTTCACGGATCCAGCCATTGCCAAGCTGCTGGAAGAGTTTAAAAACCTCACAGAGCCGCCGATAGGGGTAGTGTCGCGGCCGATCCAGCACAGGATAGAGATAGAGTCTGGCAGTAAAACTCCTAAGGGAGCAGTCTACAGGATGTCCCCAAGAGAGTTAGATGAGCTGCGCAACAATTGGACGAGCTCCTGGAGAAAGGTTGGATTAGACCAAGTTCGTCTCCTTTTGGAGCACTAGTTTTATTTGTCCCCGAGAAGGAAGGAGAGTTGCGAATGTGTATAGACTATAGGGGCCTGAATGATATCACAGTCATGAATGTTGAACCACTACCCAGGATAGACGATCTCTTAGATCGGGTGCAGGGTTGCAAGTATTTCTCAAAGATAGATTTGAAGTCCGGGTATCATCAGATAGAGGTTCATCTTGATGACCAGTACAAGACTGTGTTCCAGACTAGAAATGGGCATTATGAGCTCATAGTGATGCCCTTTGCACTGACCAATGCGCCACAAACATTTCAGCGATATATGAACGATGTGTTTAGGCCTTGGTTAGATAGATTTGTCGTAGTGTATCTAGACGACATCCTAGTTTTCAGTAGGACCCTCCAAGAGCACCAGGGGCATTTGAGGCAGGTCTTGGAGAAGCTGAGAGAAGCTAACTTCAAGATCAATGCGAAGAAGTGTGAGTGGGCCAAGACACAAGTCTTGTACTTGGGTCACGTGTTAGACAGAGATGGCATTAAGCCCGAGGACAGTAAGATAGCGGCGATTAGGGATTGGCCGACGCCCCGCACATTGACAGAGTTGCGGTCGTTCCTAGGCCTAGCTAACTATTATAGGAAGTTCGTAAGGAACTTCTCGACTATCGCCGCCCCCCTTCGCAAGTTGCTCAAGAAAGAGGCAATCTGGCAGTGGGATAAGGACTGTACGTCTGCGCTAAAGAAGCTAAAGCGTGCGTTAATAGAGTATCATGTCCTCAAAGTAGCAGATCCGTCCTTGCCATTTGTCATCACCACGAACGCGAGTCAGTATGGTATAGGCGCCGTGTTACAGCAGTACGACAGCAATGGCTACAAACCCGTAGAGTTCATGTTAGCGAGGATGCCCTCAGAGAAGGTTGCTACCTCAACGTATGAGAGGGAACTCTACGCTCTCAGGCAGGCTTTAGAGCACTGGAAGCATTACCTGCTTGGGAGGCACTTCAAGGTGTATTCAGACCACGAAACGCTTAAATGGTTGAAGACACAGACCAAAATGACACCTAAGTTGACTAGGTGGGCCGCTAAGATAAACCAGTACGACTTTGAGCTCAAGCCAATTAAGGGCAAGTACAATGTAGTTGCGGATGCTCTGAGTAGGAGGTCAGACTACTTTGGAGCCATAGTTCACTATCTGGACATAGGGCGTGACCTGCAAGAGAAAGTTAGACAGGCGTATACCCAGGACCCTATCTATAATGACCTCCTCAAGAAGGTTAAGGAGGCCCCTGAGACCGAGCCAGATTACCGCACTACAGAGGGGTTATTATTTGGGAAGACTAATGTAGTAGACCGCCTATGCGTTCCCAATAGTGCAGAGATCCGTAGTTTGATCCTAGGGGAACGCCACGACACAGAAGGACATTTTGGTTGGCAAAAGACTCTAGCCAACCTCATGCATGCGTATACATGGCCTGGAATGAAAAACGACTGCATAGAGTATGTCCGCAGTTGTAAAGTCTGTCAATGGAACAAGACTACTACGCGTGCCCCTCTCGGTCTTCTCCTATTCCAGACCAGCCTGGAGATTCGGTCTCCATTGACTTAATGGATGTCGGTGTCAAGAGCCGACATGGCAAGAGCCAAGTCATGGTTGTAGTCGATAGGTTTAGCAGGTATGTTATTTTTGTTCCTTTGCCTGCAGAGGCACGCACAGAGTTAGTGATTCAAAAGTTTTTTTACTTTTGGGTTCGTGAGCATGGTGTCCCATTGTCTATTGTTAGTGATAGAGATACACGCTTTACCAGCCAGAACTGGCAGAAGCTGATGAGAGTCTATGGATCTAAGTTGTTGATGTCATCTGGCCGCCATCCAGAGACTAACGGTCAGACCGAACAGATGAACAAGATCCTGCAACAAGTTCTACGGATGTACATTAGACCGGATCAGATTAACTGGGACGAGATGTTACCCAAGGTAGCCAGTGCATACAATAACAGTGTGCATTTGTCCACCTGTCGCACTCCCAACGAGTTGCACAAGTCCTTTAGACCGCGTAGACCGTTTGAGGGACTTAACGGGGATCAGATCCACAAGCTACCGCCCGGTACCATGGAGTTCGCCATACAGCACGAGAAAGAGATAGCCATTGTTGTTGAGAACCTCAGGAAGGCCCAACACCAGATGATAGAACAGGCTAATAAGCACCGTCGCCCGTCACAGTTCCAAGTAGGCGACTTGGTCTGGGTCAAGTCCAAAGAGTTTGCTCCTGAGGAAAACATCTCTCAGAAGTTACTGCCCGCATATAGGGGACTGTGGCCAGTTCTAGAAGTGAAGGGCGGAGAGGATGGGCCGTCCTACACCATAGAGATCCCAGCACACCTCCACACCTACCCTGTGTTTCACGCGTCAAAGTTGCTGTCGTGTGTCACAAGTCAACAATTTCCATCTAGACGGTCCATGATCCCTCCAGACATGGATGGAAGATATGACATTGACAACATTGTAGGTGAAGATGTGTTCAGAACAGGAGGTAGAGGTCGTCCACAGAAACAGTATAAGGTCCAGTTTGCTTATCAGGAACCGGAGGATGACCGCTGGTTCACTAGAGCAAAACTTCTAGAGACAGCTCCCGATATAGTTAGAGCCTACGAGAGAGATCAGAAAGGTAAAGGTCCTGCCTTGGACTGAGTTATTCTCGGAGGACCTCGAATTTAGGCCAGCAGGAGTGAAACGGTATTCACCAGTTCACAGTAGCTGATGCAGATCCCAGGGTTCGATCCCTAGCCCCCACCTTACCTGTGTACAGTATCTGTGTCGACCCCTAGAGTTGAACCCTTGACCTGTGTATTTGTAACAGTCACTGACTGTCGTAGGGTCTATAGGTAGCAAGGGTTCGATCTGTAGACCTGTTGAGTAGAAGTCCTAGTCAGGTCTAGAAGTCGTAGCCGTAGTTTTCCCGAAGAGTCAAGGTCGTAGCTGCTACAGTCCAGAAAGGTCAAGGTCGTAGCAACTACGGTCTCGAAAGGCCAAGTCTACGGCCTTCCGGAAGGTCCCAGTAGTGGCCTTTCGAAGTTGCCCACGTTTAGGTTGAGGCAAGTGGGCAAGTGGTGAGGCAAGTGGTGGAGTCTACCCGTGCTGAGTCAGCAGTCCCAGTCCTAGTCAGTCCTAGTCCAGTCAAGCAAGTACCTCATGGGACTGCGTGCACCACGGGCATGGGAAAGGGCCAGACCAACGAGCTGCAGACGTATAAATCAAGAGGCAGCGCCCAGTCATTCATTCATTCCTGCGTGAGCCATGCGGAAGCGCTGCCATAAGCGACTTGTGCAAGGAGGTCTGCAGTAAGCCCGAGGACGAAGTGGGCGAGAGAGAAGGAGTGTAGCCATAGCGATAGGGTAGTAGCGGCCATAGCCGCCATAGCTGTAGGTAGAGTGCAGTGCGAGTGTGTGTGGGTGTTCAGAGTATCGTGTGTGGGATATCCAGAGTGATCCTGTGTATGCGAACAGAGAGTTGTGTGGACGCTGAGTCGCCATAGCCATCGAAGTGATAAGTGTGTTCTCGGTTACCAGATCTCTGAGTTCTGAGTGGGCGCTTGACACCAGTTTGCTGCGCACCTATTTGCATGCATGAGAAGTGTGAATGAAAGCGAGTCTGATTGCATTGGTATCGGAGCTGGTACCCGCTATTCCACGCGCGTCGTTGTGTGTCGCAGGGAGAGTGACACGCCATAGCCGAAGTGGCTAACAAAGAAGAAGTCTGCCATAGCGGAGACGGAGGTTGAAGAAGCGCACCTGCAGAGAAGACCACGACG